TAAAATATCCCACATTTATTCTTCATCAGATTGAACCTTAAGAAATTAACTTTTAGATGACCCTTTATTCTAACTGCATGTTCTCAAACTATTTAATCGCATTCTGTCCCCAGACAGCTTTTACTCAGGTATTTGACAAAGACAACATGACCAAGAGTCAGGAAATGGCAAGATAGTGCAAAATACAGCAGTTCACAGCAGGTTAGCTTTACTGAAGTATTTTTCATCATGGAATTATAAAGCAGTCATTAAATTAAACTGCTAACAGCTTCAGAGCAGAAAGAAAGGACTGAAATCGGCTTTCCATCTCAGGACTACAATTCTCATTTATTTCAGGGACTCCACAGCTGCAGCCAAGCATCACTGTAAGCCCAGTAGACAAAACAAATCAGTAGAGAAAACTAATCCATTCCTAGACACATTCATCTCCTTCTAAGGGTCTCTCACCTGCACTGCCTCACAGCTCTACAAGCTAGGGGATCTCTCACAAAGATAGAAACGGAGCTGTCATTTTGGGATATGGTAATATTGTATTATATTTATATTTATAATTATATGGTAATATAATTTGGGATACTGGAAAAAAACATTAGCAAATTCAGCTGAATGGGGAACAGCCAGCTAAAGACGATGTCATGGAAGTAATAAGGTGGCTTTGGATTCTGTATTTAGGATGTTATCATAGGGCAGATACACAGGCTAGCATAATGAACATGAAACAATATCCACACAGGCAATTAGCTTTTTGATGACAAACTAAGGCAGACAAAAAAAAACAAACAAACAAACAAACAAAAAGTGCAACAATGCCCACACTAAACTTTTTTCCTCTCATCTGCCAGAAAAACCTTTGCACTTGAACCTGAAACATGACAGTACAGATTAGAATTAGAGTCATAGAATAGTTAGGGTTGGAAAGGACCTTAAGATCATCTAGTTCCAACCCCCCTGCCATGGGCAGGGACACCTCACACTAAACCACCTAACTCAAGGCTCCATTCAACCTGGCCTTCAACACTGCCAAGGATAGAGCATTCACAACTTACTTGGGCAACCCATTCCAGTGCCTCACCACCCTAACAGGAAAGAACTTCTTCCTTCTGTGTTGAGGACACCAGAACTGCACACAATACTCCAAGTGAGGTCTCAGGAGAGCACAGTAGAGGGGCAGGATCCCCTCCTTCGACCTGCTGGTCACGCTCCTTTTGATGCAGCCCAGGATATGGTTGGTTTCTGGGCTGCGAGCGCACACTGAAGCCGGCTCATGTTCATTTTCTCATCAACCAACACCCCCAAGTCCTTCTCAGGGCTGCTCTGGATCTCTTCTCTGCCCAACCTGTAGCTGTGCCTGGCATTGCTCCGACCCAGGTGTAGGACCTTGCACTTGGCATGGTTAAACTTCATAAGATTGGCATCAGCCCACCTCACAAGCGTGTCAAGGTCCCTCTGGATGGCATTCCTTCCCTCCAGCCTATCAACCGAACCACACAGCCTGGTGTCATTGGCAAACTTGCTGAGGGCGCACTCAATCCCACTGTCCATGTCAGCGACAAAGATGTTGAACAAGACCGGTCCCAACACCGATCCCTGAGGGACACCACTCGTTACTGGTCTCCAGCTGGACATTCAGCCATTGACCACAACTCTTTGTGTGCGGCCACCCAGGCAGTTCTTTATCTACTGAGTGGTCCACCTATCAAATTGATGTCTCTCCAATTTATAGACAAAGATGTCGTGTGGGACAGTGTTGAACGCTTTGCACAAGTCCAGGTAGATGACATCAACAAAGTAGAAACAGAAGTAGAGATTGGCACAAGTAGAAGTGCTCAGAAATATAAAGGTGGAAGTTTTGATCCTTCTCCCTCTCATTCCTGTGTTACAAAGCAGTTCTACTCCACTGGAATGGATATCCACAGAATGGAAAAGCAGCTATTGGAAAGCAGCATCTCTAGCATTAGCCAGACACATTTTCCATTCCAAATACTAACTGCTTTAATTTATTTTAAGTTTAAAGTAATAGACTGTCAGGACATGTTTAGTTGTCCCATGTTCTGTAATCGGGTATCAACATTGCTATCCACACAGTTCTTGCCCTTGCCAGGGTGTCCACATGTGAATAACAAAGATGGGAACTTCCAAAGCTGAATCAATATACGTTTCAGCTACATTTAGTGTTGTTTCAAAGCTCCAGAAGTCTTCACTCTTTTGAAAGGCCAGCAATAGCTTAAAGTCTTGTTATACTCAGAAAATAAAGATAACTGTTGTCATAAAGAATAATTTGACTGATACACATATACGCACACACAAAAATGTATGTACAAAATACAGAAACTATGCAGGAAAAGTCAAACTAATTCAGAGTTTCTGTTATATTCATTGACAATGGGGTCTTATAGTTTGAAGCAGTTACTTTTGTTTTCCAAACCCCAAAAGAAAGAGTTCTCTAGAAGGCTCATTTTCTGGTATTCTCCGTTAATATATTCTCCTAGCTTCGTGATTACCTAACAAGACACAGTACTATTGATCTCATATGCTTGGTTGAGTTGTAGATTATGATATATTGAAGAAAAGTTCTGCTTCTAAGATATCTTGCTTTATCCTGGAGAACACTTCACAAGTCAAACATACTGATTCACATTTTAATAAAAAAGAAATTGGGACTTTTTTCTTGTTTCCTTCTTTCAAGAGACAATATCCCAGTCTCTTGGACTCTCTACTAGTACAGTTCACACCTGAAAAATACCTTATCTAAGGACATCAGCCCTTTTTCATCCATTTTTAATACCCTAAAATATAATAATAATAATAAAAAAAGAAACAAAAGCAGGAATTGATTTTCACTTTAAAGAACAAATGAAAGAAAAAAAGAAAAACAACCAAACACAAACACACAAACAAAAAACCCCACACTTACTTCATAACCTTACAAAGGAATTCTTTGGATTCAGGGATATTGTAGACTTAATTTTCTCAGATGCCATTACATTACCTGAAGCATGAGATCTCACCTGATCACTACTGTTTACAGTAACTCTTTCACAAGTAAGTTCCACATTTCATCCTATGTTTAGATTTCAAAACTTCTTCTTAGTTCAACATTCTGCAATGAGAAAATCTATGCATGTTTCATCTTAGGTTCTCTAAAATCTAGAACACGCATACTTGAAATACATTAAAAAATTGCATTTTATTTCTAATATATTTTTTCCTGAATAAGATATTCCCCCAAATCAATACTTACAAATAAAAAAATTAAAAAATAAAAAACAGATTAAGTAGCTCCTGAAGCATTCAAACATAAAAAAAATACACAACTTTCATTATACATAACAAAGTTCAATGATGAGGAGATAATTAGGAGTGTATGGGAATCACTACAAATTTGATATAAATAAATCAACTCAGGCATAGCTGAAGGCCTAATTCTACTTACATGACAAGAAAACCTTTTTTTCCTTTTTAGAGGATGATCAAGTTATTGATATTGCTGAATGAAACAAGAGATAGCCCAGTGAAAATAGTAAACCTTGAACCAGATTCCTAAATCTGATTCAGGCTATTGCCCTGAATTGTCAGTCGGTGTTCTTCATAACAAATCAATATGGAGGGTAAGTGCAATAGAGATGCATATGGATTAAATGTTCTGAGTGTTTCTCCTTACTTGCACTTACCTCTGGGTTTGTTGTTTTTAAACCAAATACACCATCCCTAAAGCCTCTAAACTACTTCTTTCAAGTGTGTTTTTTTCTCCATTCTAGTAATTCAACTCTGTGTTAATACAACTTTAAATATCCTTTAAAAGAGATTTGAGCTTTAAGCATTTGACACATTCTGGTTGCAGTCATAACAAAAGAATTTGTTCTCTTCCTAACTACTTTCAACAGAAAATATTTATAATATAATAACATCTCATTCACCAATATATACTACTCAGAATCCCAGACTACTCATCTTTAACCTCTGTGATGTTTTCACTGGGCTCTCAAACCTCACAGCAAAATACCTCTCTTTTTAACCATGCATTTTAACCTTTTGTTCTGTAATTTATGCTCAAATACACTGCCTCATCTGTTTTCTGTGAATTGAAAAAGAGCCTAACATTGCAGCTTTTGCTTTCATTCCAACTACGAAAATGAAGATTCTGCTACTGGACAAGTCTTTAGCAAAACTCAGGAGACATTCAAGCTGTGCTCAGAGAAGTATCATGAATTAAGCTGTACTACACAAGGAAGAGGTAGTTAAGCAAATTCCTTTCATCTGTTAATTGGAAAAAAAAATGTCTGATGATGAATTAGGGCAGTTGTATACTCATTAGGAGCCAGCAATGAACTGGTGGCCCCATGGAAATCAACAGCAAAATTTCAATTAGGTCATGAATCTACCTCAAAGACTTTCACCTTTCACAAATTCTAAGTAAGTAAACCAGATCTGCTTGTAGAAAATCTGAAGGAAATAAGTTCCCTAAACATGCCATTGCCAACAGGGTATAGGGCACTGAAGAAAGAAGAGAGTCGTCCTGGCTCAATACACTGAGCATCCATCCCAAGAGTATTTAGGACCTCATCATATGGGTTACAGTTGAGCAAGCAGCAACAGTACCTTGGCCAGGCAGACCTAGCCAGGTCTTCACGACTGCCCTGGGCTGCAGCAGCAATCTGTACACTACAACTGCACTTACGAGATCCTGCTTCCACAGTGCAGCTCAGCTGTTTCCAGAGACACATAGCTCAACCTTTTGCAGAAATTGGTAGGGGAGCTACACACATCTAGGATCCCACTTAATTCTTAACTACTTCATGACTTTTTCACTGTTATAAGGAGGTGGACATTATCCCTAATGGAAACTTCCTATAATAACAGCATACATTTAGGGATGTTTCTGCTTCCAAATAAGTTCTCATTTAATGTCGTTTTAAGATATTGTATTTTGCACAGTAAAATGAAACAATTTTCAGCATAGATTAAAATAGGTGAAGAAAATGTATTTTCTTACAGGTGATAACAAGCCTCAAGGTGATTCTGAGCATTACTGGTTAAGCTTTTTGTTTTCAAAGTACCACTTTTCTGAGTGCTATATGCACCTCTTCAACTTTTGAGAGAAAACACATGCATGCTTTTAACATCCATGTATTCAAGTATATTCACTTGTGTATGTTTAAAAGTACGCGCTGATTACTGCTAATAAGAATTAGTCTGAACAAGATCAAGATCTCTTTGCACTTGGTATGTCAGACTTTCTTTTGCCAACTCCTTTCTATTATGCCAGAAGTGTGCAGGCTCTTAAAAAGAAATATTTTGCAAAAAGTTCTTCCTTTGTTTCAAAGCTTAAAAGCTTCTTTCAGGAATGTAAGCTCAGAATATATTAAAAATGTCACATTGAACCTTACAGCAATAGAGTTATCAGTGTTTTGCTGTGTGCTGTCTATTCCTGAGTAGCTCTGAAGCACTTGAAGGACATCATGATAGCAATCTACAAGTGGGACTGTGTGTCAGGAGTGCTTAAGGGTTAACCTACATGAAATGCCAGGTGATAATAACTCTTATCTGCAGTCAGCATACAGAACCTGAATTCATGGGATTGCAGTGTTTTCCCAAGTCCTTTAATAGCAGCTAGAACTACAGTAATTTTGTAATTTCCTTACATTTGGGAACAGCTACTTACAATCCTGTTTCTGAGCTTACGGCTCATAACATATAGCTGTCAGATTTGACCGTTTTAAGTTGTTTCATAATCTTTAGTAATATTTCCCTGCCTGTATCTTTATTCAGCTCCTTTCATTGTACTGTATAATAGTCTTTGCAAGAGCTAGGTTATGCTATTTTACAATATTTCCTCTCATCCCATTCAATTACCAACAGTCAAATCATATGACTTGACATAAATTTAACTAGTCAAATTATTCATTGACAATGCCAGTGCTTCAGCTAAAGAAATCAAAACGTTTAAGGCAGTGTAGGAGTTCTCTTATTTTAGACAGTGACATTTTGGAGGAACGAAAGGCCTGTTGTCACCATGGTTGCTCAGTGCAGGTGCAGAGAAAGAAGCATGTGGGCAGTGTGACCACTCTGCCCCCGTAATGCTCCTGTTGAAGCTGTAGCAGGAGGTTCTTTGTCCCAGGGATTATGGGGCCCACAGGAAGTGCAAATGATCCAATGGATCACTGAATGGAAGGGTGCAGAAATGCACACTGGACACCAAACAGCTTAACATTTCAGAAATTGCCACATCTGTCTTCTATACATGCTCTTGCTGGAGGAAAAGAGAACAAGGAGTAAAGGTATACGGCTATTGGAATAATTCAATGCATTCCCTAATAGACAGAAGCACATTTCCCGTCTACCATGTTTTAGAACCGCTAGATTTGTTCAGTATCACCAATTGCACTCTCAGAAGGCAACACCCCTGTGAATTATACATTGCATCCAGAAGTGACAATGATGACACAAATCACCCAGAGACAGACATAAAAAATGAACAAACTTCACAATTTTTTATTTTTTTTTTTTAAAAAGCTACTAAAATTACAAATCACTGTCAGCTAGAAAAGGCTTCAAGAATGGTTTGGATATACCAGATAAACTTTTAATTATACTTTCAACTTGTCATAATTTTGTGTGTTATGTATCTGAAATCGATGTATCTGCCATAACGCATTAAGCGCTACATCCTCAGAGGGAACATCACAATGCTAAGCACTGTATCATCTAATTCTTCAGTGAATCCACAGCATCTGGGTAGATGGCCAGGCTCCTATACAAACAACAGGGAGACAGGCATCTAAGAATAAAGGCTACAGAAGCCATTCATTATATCTGTGCAGACACAGTAAATATAGTAACAGTAAATCTTGAGGAAATAAATGTATCCTAAGCTGTGCTCTTTAAAGACTTTCATGCTAGTTCAGAGATTCTTTTAAATACTGAAGGCATCTCACATGGGGAGAGATATTTTTCTCCATTCCTATTTCTGTGGGATCAACCCTGTAAGGAAAATCTATGAAAAATTCATAGATAATCAAGGGGATGCTCATTTTGTAGCTCTGAATGGGTCTCAGGCACTTATGTTTCACTCTGTCAACACTTTGGAAGTGCTGGGTATGAACACTAGCAAAGCTTTTACACCTAGAGAACTTCCTTGGCAAAGAACACAGACTCCTCCGGAAAGCAACTGAAAAGGTATAGAAGGGAGGAAAAATAAAAAAAAAAAAAAAAAAAAAAAAAAAATATAGCAAAAAAGAGTTGCTCAGGATTTGTAATTTGCCCTGAGATACCTTAAATAGAAACTGCTGCGCAATCAAGAAAGCTGCAAAAAAAACTGAGCAAATTAAACTAAGCTAATCTCCATGCTGGGTCAACTAGACTATGACCAATATCCAAGTTAGCCAATTTCAAGCTGACTCAGAAATCTCTGTTCTGCTAACTGTGCTGCAAACTGCCCCTGAAGGCCCCTTGCTTTTGTTTGTTTCTCAAACAGAATACATAAGCAATAAAATTTCTAAGTAAACTACTAGGAGCAATAGTATAGCCAGATCCTATTTTATATACTTATGGATTTAAATTCTGCCTTTCAAGTTGGTCCTTTAAGACATCCATAGAGCTTCCAAATTAGTTGCCTGAGATTTGAGCCATATAAGTAATGCTTTGAGAATCCATTGCTCAGGCTGTACCAGTAGTTACATTTAAAAACATCAAGGAATACTAAATTATTAATTCTGAATTAAGTTAAGTAATATGTGGTATTTAGCTAGATTTTTCATTTCGTTTACTTTCAAAGATGGGCTTAAAAGGACTAAGATACAAAGCTGGAGAAAAGATTTCATTCATGAACTTTGTTACAAGTGATTTTTGAACAAAACAGCAGGTTAGAAAGTAGTTTTCACTATAATATTCACTGAGATAGTTACCATGTGAATTATTGCATCCAGACTGTTTTTCAGAAGTCAAAATCTGGAAGTTTTCAAACCTTTGGCCTAAACATGACAAGTATTGCAACATTTCTTGCTTCTGTTCAAGGAAATATCACTTGAAAACAAACAGTAAAGAAGATAAGCTATTAAGCTGGACCCCTGATGCTCCTAGTTCTTTCATCAGGTCTTATATCTGTTAAACTTTCATAAATGTCAGTTTAAAAAAAAAGGAGTTTCAACTACATCCCAGTGCAAAAAATTCCCATACTCATTCTGCTAGACCACAGGCTTCAAAACCAGCTGCAATACTCCCCTAAAGAATTGAGATATTCAGGAAGAATAAGTAGTACTATGCTGTAGCTTCATTTCCCACAATAAAATTTGGGTTACAAGTTGCTTTGTCTTTGCAGGTGTAATATCATAATTACTGAAACTGCATGCGGAACAAAGGGAAAAAGCATCACTATGAATAATAAGAGCTAGTTCAATCTTTTATTAAAATCACTGTTGTTTTCTACCACCTGGTAAAATTCTCTTGTTGATTTTCATCTCTCTTAGCTACAATAAACTTAATAAAACTCCTATAAAATATTTGCATATGCATTATGATGAGCTTACTGAGCTTACGGAACTTAACTGCAGTTACTCATATTGTTAGCACAATATACAAGTGAAGTTAAAGTGCAGCCTACAAACTTTTTCAGTATTTGTTACAAAGTAAATATGGGTTTAATGAACTGTTAGTTCCCCTCTCTTGTTACTAGTTACCTGCTCTCAGAAACAGTCTGCCTCACTCATCAGTATGAATTTTTTAGTGTTTATGGAGCACAGTAAAACAACTATAATTTACAATTAAGCTTCTATCCTTTCTATCCCTTCAGCAATAAAGGCAATTTTCTCTTCTTTCATGAACAGCCAAAACTTCTTATGCTAAAGGCCTTTCCAACCTATCATGTCCATAGAAGCAAAATAGCATAGGTCACAAGGAAACCACAGCCCACATGTAAATGGGTCCACACTCTCCACTTTGTAACTTGAGAGAGAAAAGAACATCAGATAAGACTGTGGCTATTCCCTTCAAGCAGTGGCAGAAATTATATGTACCTTCTCCTTAACTTTGGATAATCAGGTATTAGACATTTTAAACCCTGCTTTTAAGTAACAACTGAAAAACAAATCAAGCAAATTTCAGACCTGCAGTGATATCCCTTCCACTTCTGATTAAAGCAGACACATGAGGTTGCCCTAGATTGTCATGACTGCAGTATACTTAACAAAACACAAGTATGAGTCCATTCTGGGTTGAGTAACAAGAAATATAACTTAATATTCAGGAAACTCAAATGATTAGAGGAGTATGTGCTGGAGGGTCAGAAAGAATTTCTCTCTGTCCCTCTTCCCTTTATAAGTCTTTTAGAGGACTGAGATATTAGAAAAGGATTTTTTATTTCAAGGCTGATGTATCCATGCAGTTTAAAGTCAACTCCTTGAGGAGATGGTCAACACCAAAGTAACATAAGTCTTGGTTAAAAAAAAAAAAAAAAAGAAGTAAAAAAAAAAAACAAACCCACTGCCATTACCTTGTCCCTGAAACACTGAAGAAGTTAGGAAGACAGTGTAGGCAATTGCACTGATTTGAAATGGAGATTTGGTAGCCAACTGTTACCCTGGCCTACTAGAGTTAATAGCAGGTGCATATGACTCAGTGCTATTCAATACCTTAGAGCTATAATAAAAATATCCCGAAAATTTCCTGAGCTGAAACTCCTCAGAACCTTACAGCTTTCATCACAGCCTGAGGATTTTGTTTGTGTGGATATCACCTGGTCCAAGTTGTTCTCAGAAGATAATATCCACCAGGAAATCATTCGTTTGGCAGGAATTTACCCTAATAATAGTTCTACTTTTCACATTCTTTTTGCTGATCATGTTTTACTGTGTTGTTCATGTGCTACAGTACCAACAGCAGCAGAGCTCACCTTGAACACTGAGAAGAGTCTGAAATTGATTTTGTTGGTTATTACAATGGTGGCAGCAGCTGACCTCACATCCAGCACTGTGCAGAGTGTAATTTTTGCACACAGTGTTGAAGTTGCCCTTGTTATGAGATTCTACTGCTTTGTAGGAATCAATGATATTTGGAAATGACAGTCCTATGTTACCATAAAAGCAAGACAGTTTTGTTTTATAATGTGGATGGCAATAGCATATTACTGCTGCTTATACAACCAGATCATGTCTTTCAATATCTCTGACTCCATGGAGTGACTTGTAATAGTTACAGCCCAGAAACTGTTATAAGCATGTATTTGCGGAAGCACACCCATAAGAAGTCCTAAGGAAGTGACTCCAACAGTTCATGCAACTTCAGGTAACACAGCAGCATATGTAAGAAAATGAGTTTTCATTAGAGAAAGTGCCATTATTAGTCTTCCATGTAGAAAAGACTGTGAAGAGTGGTCAACTGTTCAAGCAAAATGCAGCAACAGTGAATAAAAGTTTATTAATTTATACTAGAACCGTAAAACTAAAGACAGCAATTCCCAAAAGGTAATCTCCATCTCATCAAAATATCATCTCCCACTTAAGTTGTCAGAAAATGTTAATTAAGAAACAAAAACATTTCTGTTTGACTGAAACACACCAAGGAATACCAGATTTTTAGCTAGTGCTGAGTGTACTTCACAAATTTACAGCATTAAATAGCTCAGAACTTGATTACAACAGTCAAGCAATACAGGCAGTGAATGCCAGTGTTCTTTCCTTGAGCAGAAGGTCTAGATAAACACTGTGGTTCAAAATGCCTCAATCGACTACTTTATCCCACGTATATAAATTAATAAAAAATTCCTTACAATGGTTTCTAGTCTGTTAACTTTAACTATAGTAATGACAATGAGCTCAGTTTAATACCTTGCATTATGTTAACCGTAATTAGTAATTTTTTTTTTGTTTAAATATTCTTTCTATTGTTATTTTGTAGGAAGGAAGAATACAGTGACTATTACAACATCCTATGTTTATTCTCTTGGTATGAATTTAGACAGAACAAAAACTGATTCAGGCATACACAACTGGTCACTATCTCAAAAAACACAATAAAGGAAAAGGATGTATTTTTCGCCCCCAAGACTTCAGTGCTGAATTATTTCATGCTTCTGGCTCTGTAGTTATACTTGACAATGTGTGCTCCCACACACAGACAGCAAAACAAAGATATAGATTAAATACAGAAATCTCAGTTTTATTTTGATTAACTGGAATCTGACACACTGCCAGCTACACCCACCTATTCACAGGCAGTTACCACTTGGGACCTTCTAACATGGAACTCAAATTGCTCACAAGGCCTGAAGCATACCAGTAATTCCCAACACACCTTTGGTATCATGTGTTAGGATAGTAAAAAGTTATTATCACCTTATCTTTATTAAAATCACTATTTACTGAACACACAGTCATGCCCTAACAAATGAAATCTCCCCCTAAAAAGTTTAACACTGAAGCCTAATTTTTGTAAAAGAAGATGAAACGAGTAGTCTGACAAGCAGCAAACTGGGAGAGAGAAGATAAATCTTGATAAGAACAGGTTATGATAAAAGTGAACATAGTGCTTACCTTAGCGATTCTGAGATGTGTATATATAGGTAGACAAATAGCAGTCTGAGGTCAGGAATCTTTTTCATACAGTGAGATAAATATCCATGTATTTGTTCAATATCATAAATAAATGCAAATGTGGAAATGTCGGTAAATGCAGATAATTCTCTGTCTCCTCAGAAATACAAGCAGCTTGCTTTATATATCCCACGTGCCACTGGTTCCTGACGGATAACAAAGGAGAAAGAGGATACAATGGCTTCTCAGCTCCTCTAAGAGCTTATACAGAGAAGACACTGGGGTGTTAACTGTATCCAATTATACCTAGAAGATCTAGCAGTTACATACTGTAAGCTTTCTCTAAGTCAGACCATTGCAGTTATTCTTAGCTGCAGATATTGCCAGAATTCTGACATGTTTAAAAAACTCCTGCCAGACATAGGCAGAACCAATATAATTTTTAAAAAATACAGCCTCAGACTTAATATCTCAGATTTAATATAGGCTTTCCACTTTAGGGTTTCTGGGATTGAAATAATCTACAAGCTAACAGTTAAACAAGAATCTTACTGTTGTTTTTTAGGTTCCTCACTTCTCACTTGATTCCACAAATACAAATACGATTTTTACTTTACGTCAGAAATCTGATACACTGGTTATTCAATTATCAAGTTGCTCTTTTCTTGCATATTAGCCACTGAGTAGGTATCAGACTGAAATATATTTAATCAAATGGTTTGTGAAAATGGCCAAGCAGAATGTGTCTATACAGTTCACTGAGCAAAGTAGTGGAAAGGCAGGAGGAAAAAGATTAAGTTGGACTTGATATACAGAAATAATTACCATAATGCGTACATGCATCAAGCTAAGTGCTGTATTTCTGAATCTGTCTTCCTACACAACGACTTCCTCCACATCATCCCCCATAATGTTTCCAGGTTACATCTGAACCAGTTTTATCAGGGCTGTACAACTGGTAGCTGAACATAATTAGTTAATATCGCTGGGATTTTAGAGTTACTGTACAGTGTTACAGTCATTATCAGATGTCTAAAACTAATAATGATCATCCATTTGTTGCATTAGAAAGAATCTTCTGGAAGAATATTCCACCTGAAAAGAAATTCATTCTGGTTCCTGTTAATACTGTGCTCAAAAAAAGAGCTGTGAGATGACACCTTGACCCACCAGTTACATGCCCATACTGCCTATATTAATTTTGCTTTGTACCAGAAAATGCCATTTCTCCATGATAACCTTTGGGCATAAAGCACTCCACAGGGCTCTGGAACAAAGGTACCACCTTTTCACAGTTACATGCAAGCAAAATCTTTGAAATTGCAGCTGCTTGCTACAAGAAAGTTTTCATCCCTCCGGGTGTAGCAGCCCCCAGATTACCTCTCCCTCTTCCATGAGCTGCTGAAACCACCACTGTCTGGCAAGCTTATAAAAGAGCTTAAAACCATTCTACTGTCCTCCTCTTTGACTTCCCAGCCATAGCCATGCCTCTGTACAATTAAACCACAAACTATGTAATAATTTCAGTAAATTAACTCCTCACAGACACACAATTCCTGAGTTGTGGCTTAAGCCACATCCTTAACTCACCAGGGGCATTGATGGGTACTAAAAACAACAATAATCTAAAACAGCTTTAAAGAGATGCCTTATGTTCTTCAGATGCTCCTCCAATATTCCTTTACACTTACAAATACAGTCTTTAGATTTTGACTGTTCCTTGACCATGGGAGCTTGACCACAAGGAAGATTTTGTTTTCCCACTGCTCACTCAGGAAAGTACTCTGGCTTTTATTTTGTACATGTAGCTCCTATTTAGGAAAGGAGGAAAAATAAGAATCAGACCTGACCCCCCATTAGTGAAGTCTAGATATTTATGCTTTGTCCCTAAAAGGACTTTATAGTGAGATTCCATCTTTGATTTAAAACAGTAAATAATAGAATTTTTTTTTTTTTTAAAACAGAAACCAGAACTTAAGATTGCTTCTAAGGAATCTTTCCTGGGATACCCAGGACATGTTAGTCTCTTGGACCATGAAGTACAACCATTCTTTTAAGAAATTCTATACAGAAGAAATTGCTGTAGAAAGGTCAGGATCAGCTGAAAAGGGACAGAGAAAACAGAGCTTGTGAGGTCAGTCAGTATCCTAGGCAGCAGTAATTTCAACCACAACTGCAGCAAACTGGTGCAACCCTTTACAACTGATGGAGACTACACCCACATACTGCAGGAGAGGTGCTTATTTCCTCCACTATTGACACACAATACCCAAGTCACAATGTTAGGGTTTTGCACAAAACAAAATGTCTCAGCAAGGAAGGACCTCTGACATTAACTTCTGCCCGCTTTGGGTCATGAAATATTCCATCTGCCAGCAAACACCACCAGCTTGTCTTGTGAGGAAGCCTCATTATTCATAATGTTACAATGGTCATATAAGACAGGATTTGGGCAAACAGGCCTTTATCTCAATTCCTGTCATCCTCACAAGCTTTGAGAGTTTTGCTTTTGTTTTTAAATTATGACATGGTTAAACAGGTCATTCCTCCAGTGCTTACTACTCACATAAAGGTAGGAGAAACAGATATCACCAGACTCTGTGATCTGACCTTCACAGGATGTCTTCTTCAAGCATCTTATTGTTCTTGGTTTGTATGCATAATTATTATTTTTAAATAGAGTAACTCCTGGGTGCAATAATCCCACCCCTAATTGATCTGTAAAGAATATAGTTCCATGGATAACACAGCAACGAAGGAGAACAGCATTTCTTTTGCCCTGTCTCTCAATACTAGTTTAACAGCTTTTTGAACTTAATATGCCCAAACAACGTGAGATGTATACAATTAATATGATGGCAAAAACAACATAAAGCTTTGATGGAGAAAACTATACATAATTTTTGTAAACCATAGGTTTTACAAAGCTTGAATTAATGGATTTATTTCCTTGTTTTCCTTTTCAAAAGCACAGAACTAGCTCTTATTAAACAATATTATTGGATTCTTTGGTATAAACATTACAGTAAGGAAAAATGAACACTAAAGAAACTCGTTTGAATTCATATGGTCAGTAAATATTGATGATAATGATTTATTCTTCATCCTTTTTTAATACTTTCCTTGGAACTCGTTTTGTTTCCATTTTCTACATTTGATTATCATACTGAAATTTGCAAGAAAAAACAATTTGCCAGCTAAATGTAAATTTATGAGAAATGCACGTCCTCACCTAGGCTACATGTACTTGAATTGGTGATAGGAAAGAAGTTCCAGGATTGCAACAGGATTGCTGATTTGTTTACACTTAGACATGAACAGAAACATATTGCTGAACAGGGGCCATATTTCCTTTTAGACTTTTTAATTGCCCTAGTTCTTAAAGTTTTACCACAGCACTGAGAATTTGGTTCCTCCCCTTTGCAACAGATTATGGGTTTTATGACTAACCAATAACTTTATATTCACTGGCACCAAGATATACACTGCATCAATTTTCTTTCATTTTTGTTTCTCAAACACTACACACAAAGACACCACTATAAATATGTGACACGACTAAACGATGAAACAGCAGCTTCCTGCTGAAATTTTAAAGTGAGATAGACATTGTTTTAGCTGAGGAAGCCATTTAGATACCAGCTGTTCCCACTGAAAAGATGTGGCAGCCATCAGCAGAAATAAGAAATGCTCTCTCTGTACATATTGAAATGAGTTTTACCCTCCTTTCCATTCTGTTTTGTGTTCCTGCTGGTGAAAAAAGAAAAAAATTCATCTCACACTCATGTTTCTTTGCAAGCACAAATGTTAAATGAGAGGAATCTGTATCTTTGCACCCATACATGCTCTTAGGTTAAGTTCAAAACCAGGAGCTACAAAGCGTATTTCTTCTGCACAGTAATAAACTGATGAACAGTCTCAGAGCTGGAATTAAAGGTAAAAGAAGAAACTTCTGTGCATCTCCCAAATTTTCCATATTTGTTTGTTTCTAGGTGGTGTTTATGCTTTATATTATAATTAGAAGACAATAACATTTATCAGATACCACTGCATGAAATTGCAGAATAAGTGTGGATAGTTTAGTGATACCTGAAAATAATCTTTTTTTTGCTGTATCTGAGAATTAAGATTCATACAAATTACAACAGGCACAGTTTGGAAAGCAACATACAGTTACTCAAATATTCTAGATTTAAATCTAGATAAAAGATTTAAAAGTCTATATATAGACTGTATATATATATCAGTAAAATCTTCATATGGATATATCTGTTCAGAATACCATCTTCTAATGGTTGTGACAGAATATATGCTTGTGCTTTACATCTAAAAAAAGAGATAATTTGACAGAAGTAACACCTCTTCCTAATTATGGTATAAAAATCACTATATCATATTAAAGATGTTGCTTCTTTTGTCACAGGCAATCAGTTCTAAAAATCTGATTAAAAAAAAGCATTGCATTAGTGTGGTATTCTCAAGTTGCTTCTTATTAACATTTTATTGCATTATACTCTAATGACAACCAGCATTGGTTCCATTACTCTAAATAAAAAGTATAGTCATTTTCTTCTTAATGACTGAAGTGAAATGCATCCACAGGGACGTTTTCGTTTACTCTCTCCTACAGTGTAACATTGTCATTAATACTCTTGAAGACAACTTGTAGACAAAAGTTATCTCTGCAGAGGCACCAGATATTAATTTTTAAATATATGTGTTCTCAGTCACATGCAAAATGTTAGATTTCTTCAAATACAACACCATCCATTCATGCAATATACAGCTAATTCCTTGAAATGTTTTAATGCAGCAATAAAACAATTCATTTTATGATGCTTGCACCAAAAGACCATAAGAAAAAGAAGCAAATTAAATCTCACATACTTTTGAGGCAGGTAATTGCCACAGAACTCAGGTAAAAGAGAGATTATGATTTGTCCATCTCTATGCTACCCAGCATGTCAAATATAAAAGGATGGCTATAACATAAGTTATTCAGACTATAAACTGCATAAAGACAGGAACTTCGATTTTGGTAAGTGCTACAGGCAATCAAATCCTGAAACAACTGGGATACCTCTGTATATATATGCTTCTGTATGAACATGTAGACAAGGACAAATATAACCATTTTTCTACACTTTCAGAGCAATGCAAGAAAAACACATATCACCTGAGGGTATTAACCAAAGATCTGTTTTTTCTATACAATTAGAGCTAACTAGTAGGACCTCTTTGGAGTGTTTCCCAAACCACTTGTACAGGGTCTCCTGGAAAATCCCTATCCTGGCAGACATCAGGAGGGCAAAGGTGAGCACAGCAAAACCTAGCAGCCACCACAAGAAAACCTGGAGTCCATCCTTTTCATTTAAGCTGGAGTCAGATGCCACTTGCTTTACAGACATGAAAGTGCAGGTGAAGATCCCCACGAACACCTGGGCTATGGACATGTAGTTAGATACGCTGTATCTTTTCTTCAAAATGATGATACCTAGAGCCATGCTTGCTATGAGAGAACCTGATCTGAAGATCATGTGCAGTGGCATGGCGATATTTAAGTTCAGGGCACAGTTATTCACCACACTGACAGTGAAGAACATGGCCACCATGGTGAAATTTTTAGTATGGCTGGCTTCTTCCTCCCAGAGTTGGTTTCGAAGATAAAGCCTTCCACTGCAATAAATAAGAACTGGAAGAATGTCATTACGTTCCCACATCCTGGAAACTGCCTGGCCAGCAGCACCAGGAATACCACGTTGCAGCAGCAGCCGCCGAACACCAGACCCACAGCCACAGCCAGGTGCATCAAACAGCGAGGCAGATCTACTCTGCTCTCGTGAGACCTCACCTGGAGTATTGTGTGCAGTTCTGGTGTCCTCAACACAAGAAGGACATGGAACTGTTGGAACAAGTCCAGAGGAGGGCCACGAGGATCATCAGGGGACTGGAGCACCTCCCGTATGAAGACAGGCTGAGAAAGTTGGGGCTGTTCAGCCTGGAGAACAGAAGGCTGCGTGGAGACCTCATAGCAGCCTTCCAGTATTTGAAGGGGGCCTATAGGGATGCTGGGGACGGACCATTCATTAGGGACTGTAGTGATAGGACAAGGGGTAACAAGTTAAAACTTAAACGGGGAAGTTTAGATTGGATATAACGAAGAAGTTCTTTCCTGTTAGGGTGGTGAGGCACTGGAATGGGTTGCCCGGGAAGCTGTGGATGCTCCATCCCTGGCAGTGTTCAAGTCCCGGCTGGGCAAAGCCTTGGTTGAGATGATTTAGTGTGTGGTGTCCCTGCCCATGGCAGGGGAGGGTGGAACGAGATGATCTTAAGGTCCTTTCCAACCCTAACTATTCTATGATTCTATTCTAGTAGTCACCAAACTTTCTCCGTTGTTTGCAGGGTTTGTTCTCTTTCTGAACCAGGTCACTGAGAGGCAGATGTGTCACTTACAGCCTAATGGTTTGATTTTCAAATTAACTGGCTGTGCTTATGTTTTCAAAGACACTTTAGAGTCAAAGGATGCAGAGATATGCTTGGGGGCATAAGGGAGTGTTTAAAGGAGGCTGGTATTAAACCCAATTGATTTCCAATCTAGACAGGTAACTGCCAAATACCTCTGCATTCAAAATAAATCCTACCTTGTACCTATTTCCATCTTGGGTTTGTGACTGGTAGTAAAAACCCCTTCGCAATAAATTTTCAGGAAATCAATAGTTGCTCAGGACTTTTGTAAACATCAGTTAAAAGTGTACATTCAGAAACATAAATAGAGACATAGGAGTCTGTCCCTTGGTTGTTGATTATTACCCTTGTCCCTTGTTCTGAACCACTCACAAATATCTGCAGGAGCAGAAGGTGGTTATTTACATGACAGGCAACTGGTGCAGTCATTAGCTTCATACAAGGATTATGCATACAGGTAAAAACAAATGACTAATGGCATCCAAATTTCAAAACCCACCTTCTCAACCTAAAGAAAGCAACCTTGGATGGTGGCTTCAGTAGCCTCCAGCTATCTTTCCTCATTTACCCTTCAGCACTTCAGTTGCTTGCATTAATCCTGACTGTCACTCTCTCTACATCATACGTACTTCACTATAACTGTTACCACCACCTCTTATAACAGTATGTTTGCTCAAGTCCACACAAACTTGGAATCAAATCCTGGCTTTCTAAGGGTCATAACTCCTTTTGCTAGTATTCAAATTACACAAAACTTTTGTATTCCCTGAGCAAACAAGTTTAAGTTTAGCAAAAATAAATGAGGAGCCCATGGTTTGAATGCTATAGGACAGCATTCCCTTGCTTCAAGCTCTCCCGTGTTCTCCAGTAAAGATCCTAGCGCGTTAATCATTACTTTGTTTGCAGGGTTTGCTTAGATTTTTAAGATTTCTTCTGGAGGTAGTTATTGTGTTACTACTACAAGACTAATTAGCTCGATACACAGTTTCATAAAACTCAATAACTTACAAAGTACATTAACACTGAAAAGGAAATAGGGTATGCACAAAATAAAGAAGTCTGAGCTGGAAAGCAAAATTTAAAAATGCAAAGACTACATGATAAACAAAAAGGGTCATAAATTGCAACAAGATGCTCTATGAAGCAGTGTATTGTATTTCCTGATGCCAGATGAAATGCATGTTACTATCAAATACAAGAGATTTTAAGTATCTAAAACCTAACTAATCTGGGAATCAGCAGCTAAAAGAAAACTTTGAAGTGGTGACATTAATTTTGACTCCTGTTGAGTAAACAAGTGCATATTCTTATCAAGCACCATACTGCACCCTCATGAAATACAAAAATTTCTTTTGGGTTTAAGAAAGTGTCCACAACTACAGGGTGGAAAGCTATTGCAATTAATCGGACTATAACACTCTACAGAAAAGAATCCCAGACTCAGGCATTTGGGAAAACACTAATAACACAAATCCCAAATGTATATGGAAGTAGTATTATGAATTGCATCTTTGAAGACCAGCATTCTAAATAGTTTCATATTTTTTTCAGGTTTACTTTAATTTTAAAGTATATGCACCAACTGACCAGCTGAACATCTGAAAATCAGTAAGTGTGGCAAAAATCATAGTTGAATTCTGAAATTTTGTACTGCTTTTATTGTGTCTGAAATAAGACACTAATTTGGTTTTAATAAAAAGTAATTGAAAGTCATTTAGTACCAATTGATTGTTAAGGGGATATATTTTGTAGTTTCAAATCTATAGAAATGCAGTATAATTAACTGAAAACTTCATAGACAATAATGCAATTATAATCTCAACAATTTTAAACTTCCAAGTAACGTTTAAACAGTTAATTAAATTTTGAAAGATAGTGCTATATCACATCTATAAGGTGAATTACTGAAAAATGCTAATCGATATTTGTTGAGTAATCCAATTGAGTAATCTAATTTCGAGCATCTCTGAAACTAAAGACAACTTCAGAAATCTGACTTACAAACTATATAAATACCCAGATATTCATTTAATAATCAATTACATGTTAAATTATTGAATGTTACTCGTTAGGTATGGACACAGAGCCAACGTGAAAGCAACCAGCTTAAGGTTTTCTTGTTCTACCATTTTTCAACATGCTGTATAAATACAAATCTCACCTAATTGCTCTAACATCCTACTTCTGAGCACATTGAGTGAAAGGTCTTTCTTTTGTTCAGATTGGTATGTTGGATATGCAGCTGCAAACTCAGAGCATCTTTTACGCCACCTTTTAAAACACATTAATTCGGCTGAAGCAGAGAACTTATGTTCCTTAAAACAAAGACACAAGTGCCATATTTCCAGGTTTGATGATATCAGGGGAATCTTTGGTGTCCAGGAGCTCCAGGTGCTTTGCATTTTAACAAGGTTCCATTTTTCAGGTCCCATTCCTATTCCTGTTTGTCACGAGAGCTCCAAGTTACACAAAGGAATCTTCCTTGCACAGCAGCAGATTGCAAAAGCTGTTTTCAAACCTCTGCTACTCTGTGCTGTTAAATCTTCACTATAGAAGAGAAAGCATTCCTTTGCCATTCTTTGCTTGTTATAAGGATACATTCTGAGATGGCAGTTTATGAATGCAGAAAAGCTTTATCCTAAATGAGATGTCAACTTGTACTTACTAGTAAGCATTGGTAGCTGTTAACTGACTGCTATTTTACCATACCTCCAACGAGCCATGGTTGAATTATTGGATTCTTACTGTTTATTTCCCCTCTCATATAAATTCTGTGTTTGTAACACACCAGATAGAGCTAAAATAACCTCTTTATCTGCTACCAAAATTAGGTACTTGCTTATTATACCTACGTCAGCTCTAAACTAAAAACTCACCAGGAGAGAGACTACTTCACCAGCTATATTTGCAGTTCTCAGCATAACGTCAATATTTTCAGAAACCTATGGTTTCTAAATAGATTACACAACTCAGTTTTAATGGATTTGACAAAGCAGTGCATCAGCACAAGAAGAGTCAGGAGGTGTTTTGCCAGATCAATTCTTAAATATGTTGAACAGCAGAAATAAAGAGCTGCATAGGTAAATATAGTAGCATGCTAAGAGGTGTCATTTTATTTCTGGATTTCAGTTTTATAGTCTAGCCAACTTTACCACTGACATACTGCTCCTTGAGATTCAGTACTCCAGGACAGAAATTGTCATCAGTGCCTCTTCATGTAAACAATACAGATAAAAAAGGGGTTAAAAGTCAAATGATGGCAAGCTTGACTAAGGTGCCCCAAAGTAGCCATACTTTAATTTTATATAAAAGGAAAATAGAAAAACAAATCTTTCTAAAAATATTTTTTCTATTCTTTCTTGGGTTTGGTCTAGAGGCAAGACAGTAGATTACTGTAATGTCTGAGCTTACTGATACCTTTTTTTACAATTACTATTACTACTTATTTTTAAATTGCCCTGTAATGGCAAACATGTTAAAGAAATAAATAAAATCAAGAAGGGTGGCAAATAAAATGGAAAGTAAAAGTGTACCAGGGTGCAGTATTTAACACTGTTCACAGTACAAGACATTTCAAAGTGTAGGACACACGTCCACATTGCATCAGAACTATGGCTCTTTCTTTGACAGGCTTTTCTAAAAACTGTGTGACAGTTTTCACTGTGAGCAACACTGAAGGACAGGAAACTTGATTCCATCATTTCATGGTTGTCAGCTCTACAGACAGGAAGGTATATTTCAGGACAACACACTTTGCAGCAGCTGCTTGCATGAATAAGAACACACTTCCATCATTAGTCATTTAACCCATATAATGTGACAACAACATTTATTACAGAAGCTTGGAAATTCATGACAGTAGCAAGAAGCCACAATTGTTCTTTATACAATTTGCATGTGTTGAGTGCTTCAAGGAGACAGTGTATTTCAACATCAATAAAATTTGTCTTCTTCCTACCCTAATTTACTAGGTAAAGAAGGGGTGAGATAGGATCATTTACCAAGGCTTCAGAACCTTGTGAGAAGACATCGCTGGGTCAAATATCCCACTGTGACTGCTACAGTCTGGCAGCAGGTGACTCATGGTGCTCTCTCTTTTAAAAAGTTAAACCAAAAAGGGCACAGATTTTAGCATACATCTGAAAACCAATAACCAGTGACCATAAAGATTTAACTAGTTTTATCTATGACATGGTAGCAATTCTTATGATGAACTCATTCTACCCTTACAAAGTCCATACTGCAGCAGCCACCATTCAGCCTTCCCTGAGTGCCCCAGAGTAATAACTGGCTCACTCATAACAGCAAGCTCAAATGTGCAGCCATGCCTCCCAGGATTTCTGTTCCCCTTACACATCTGTATGGAAGAATAGTGACTCAACCCTAAATGTACACTGAAGTCAAATTGCTTTGAGAAGTCTCAGTTCCACAACATCAAATACATGAATATGCTGTTTGGGTCGATCCTGTAATTTAAGAACACTGCAGCTGAAGGAAGCTTTGACGAAAAAAAGCCATGAGTAAGAACTGAATACTACAGAATTAAGGTAACAATTAAAGTTTATAAACTTCTTGGTATTTACTTTGAAGCTTCACAGCACCCATCATGAGTCTATTATAGCCTGATAAATACAGACCAAGCACTTAAGAGATTGTTGGGTTTGACAGTCACCAAATAAGGCAATAATGAAAGCTAAATTTAACCTGCTTAGATTGCTGACACTTTCCAGACTACTAATCAAATAAATGGTGAGTCGATGGTTCGGCATTCTACAGCCAAACTTTAGTTTGGGTCTCAGAAACTGCGTCTGCTTTTAACATCTACAGCTCCTTTGCAATTAATGCTTGCAAAGAAATCTACATTTGTTTCTCTAAGTTGGATGGCTAAACTGTCTAACTGAAATTGACTATAACAAAAAACAACAACAAAAATGACAACAACAACAAAAATGGCAACAACAACAAAAAAACAACAAGAAAAGCAGCAAATATTGAAAGGAAAACAACAAAACCCAAACCACTGCAAAATTAACTGAGATCACTTTGACCAGACATAGTAAGTTAACAATACAAAAAATCCTTGAGTTCACATCCATACTATCCAAGACTGACATTGCCTGCTCACACTATTCCATCAGGTAAGAAAGAAAGAATTAATACGCTTCCTTTAGAAGTCAATTGCTACGTAAATCTCAATTGTGCCTGTGAGCATCAATCAGTGCCAAAGCTCTGATAAATTTATGTTTCACCTCATATATAATTCAAAATATAGTTCTAAGTCTGAAAAAAACCACACTGCTTGCCATGTGCTATGTGGTTTTCTGTTTGTTTTCCAACCAGTTATGCCAGAGATGCTTCACACCTACCGTAATTTTTTTAACATCTGATGCGTAATGAGAATATTTTATGCAGCATAAGCAGTCCTTTTTCTTCCTTCCCTCAATTTCTTAAGTAAAGTGATAATTAAAGCACTGTTTTATTGTCAATAGATGAACAGGGACTGGTTCCAGACAATTCCTTTCTAAAAGATCTTGAAACAAGCTCCAGAGACTTCCTACCTGAAAATAGAGAGCTGACAGAGTTCAGCAAAAGGACACCAGGTGTTGGTGCAGGAGTTCACAGTGTTTTACAGAAGTGCAAGTCATAATCATTTGGAACTCTAGAACTTCCTCTCCGGGCTGCTGGTATTCACATGCATCCCATCAAAGCGCAGTGTCAAACCTGCAGTCCTAAGTGATTGCCTTCTTCATGCCAGTTGTAAAGCAGAAGGTGCAGAAGATGGTGAAAGATAAATACCTTATTTCCAAGCCTCAGATATGCTCCAAAGAGTATGCAAATAATCCTGTGTACATTTTACACGTAAGATACCACAGCTGCATTTATAGAAAAATTGAGACTCTTTATGCAGTGTCCAGCATAAAAAATGTTGAACTGACTCTCTAATTTTTTTCTGTTTTTCTTAATGCCTTTTTACTGCACAATAATCCTTATCTTAAGCATTTCACAGGACAAGAGAACTCTGGCTATAGAGCTTCATGAAATATTACACTGCCACTCAGAGACAAGCAGCACAATTTTTGGCAATGTAGGTAACAATGTCATTTACAGTTTGGATTCCACACTGTCCCTCAAAAAATGCAGTTAAGGTGGATGATTGAGAACACCTCGGCAGAAATCCTCAGAAACATGTACGTATGGAACACTTCATTGCTATTGAAGCGTACACCTCCAAGGTAACAAAAACAGAAGTTATGAAACAAATTTTATATCCCTACCACAGCTAACCCACTTGAGAATCCCAATATCCAGTACTGTGGCCTAAAGATCTGAGGTAACATTAAAAAGTACATTACGAAAAGAAGGATGATCTACTGGGTAAGAGGTCCAGACAGCATTATGCAAGCCCAGGCTTCAGCCTTGTGAAAAGGTGTGATAACTACATTCCACTGTTTTGTGACTTCAGGGCCTGAGTGGATTGATGGATACATTCTCCATGATGCCCAAGCAGTTCTGCTTCAGAGGCAGGATTAGGTTCCCTTGCCCCAAAATAGTGCACTTTCCCTTCTAAGGGAAAACCCTTCTAATCTTCATTGGACTGCTTCCAAATGAAGGTCTGCAAGACCAGACCGCCTTTCAAAATATCGCAACATGTGATTTAAAAATAATTTTCCTAAATTTTTCATGCCTATGACCATTGCATTTAAAAGTAATTTCAAAAATTCAAGGTTCTAATGCCTTTCATATTGTCTTCTTTTAAGAATTCATAAAGGAAACTTTACAGAAACAGCTATGTAAATATAGATCTTTTAATAAAAATGTAAGATTCATAGAACACACTTAGAAACCTTGAAATATTTATTTTAAGTGAAAGGAATTAAGTCCTCAAGACAAATAGCTCAACATTCTCTGGCATACTTACTGCTACTTTTTATTTGGTTTTAAGTACTTTTCATTCTTACCATCCTGGTTTGGATTCAAACCAGCACATCACAGAAGAAATGTTCAATATCTCATTACTAGTGTTTTCCAGCCTTAATCATTTCCACAAATACATTTGTCCCTTTGCATTCACACTTGGCTTAACAGATTCTGACAATGAAAACCTGACTGAAGATGAAAAAAAATAAAAGCCTAAGTAACCATCATACAGCACTTATTTATAGGAAAACGAAGGAAGAAAACTGAAGTGTTACTTTGAACTTCTTTATATGTAAACCAGGAACAAATAATGATGATCTGAACCCTTGATTTACTGAAAACATGTAACAAAATTGTTTTACATCACAGCAAGGCTTAAATGGCATATTAATTGTACTTTCAATGATTGCAAGCACTGACACTGTATTTGCACACTTCTGTCTATGAAAACAAGCTGATGCTTTTAGAATATACATACTATGTGAGGTTGCTTATATGAATTCATCTTTAATAACACCATCTGACATGGAAGTCACACGTGCTTTCTGCTAATGCTATGTACCAAAAAGATTGATATCTGCCTTCTAATGTCCCAAGCTTCCTTGACTATTTGGGAAAAATCAAGGAATAATAGGATAATTCTGAGAAACAGATATTCTGAGATAGTGTGATTATGTGTTGGGTAGCATCTTTGTGAATATTTCTCAATTCTAGCAAAATTTTATTACATTTTGTCCCTCAAAATATATCCTGAAGACATGTAAGTAAGCAGTGAGATAAAATAATAAGGTGTGCTATAAAAAAGTATGCCGGCTTTGTAATGACATGTAATTAATGTCACAAATGGGTGCACATTCATCAGGATAAACTAATCCTTAAGACCTTCATTTCCTAAATCTTACCAACCTATTCAGATATGCAACTATAAAAAAAGCTTCCTATGCAGCAAAACCTTAAGATCAATACAGCATTTAGCTCAAAGCCATTGTAGCACTGCAAGTGCAGGTACAACATGCTGACGAACTCAAGTTTGGAAATCACTTTTATAGTGTATCTCTGCACCAGTTTCAGTCTATTTCTAATAGAAGTGGGTAAGCAAGGAAAGAGAATTGCAATCATCAGTCCCAGGAAAAGACCTGAAGCAGAACTTCAGAATTAGGAGGAGACAGAACTAATGCTGCAAATCTGAAGTTGTGTTTCTGAGATGGTACATGAAGCTTGAAGGCCAAGTCAAAAATAACCTGAAGCTTGCCATTAGCTTTATCACCATAAACAATGATTTATGGTGGAAACCAGAACTTGTGGAGTGGCTTTTAAAAGAAATGAGTAGCACTGAGACCAAATTATTATGAGCACTGCTTCGCTAGAACTGCACTGCCAGTTATTACAGTCTGTAGATGCAATGCAAGCACAAAGACTGGAGTAGAAAATGCTCAGAAGCTTTAAAATATTTATAGCAGCAGAAGTACCATCTATATGTATCATGATAGTTGAGTTAATGCTCAATTTGTAATTAGAAGTGGTGGTTAGCAGAGCAGCATTTATTAGGTACACAAGATTAAAAGTAATTACGAGCAGGTAAAGAAAAAAATAGAACATTGGAACCCACAAATAACTACCAGTGACACAAGTCCTAAACTCCTTTGCACAAAATCAGATACTCAGTAGGATTTGGGAGATAAATGTTTCTGGTAAGCTTTTCTCATACTCCTCATTTAGGTGATAAAACAACGTCTCAACTCTTAATATGCATTTGCTTCTTAGCTCCCTTGCTCAGAGTATCAACAAAGTTGCCAGTTTATAACATTTTTTGTAAAATTCTGCACGGGGGTAAGTTAGAACTACCTAGTTCCACCGCAGTGCTTGACTTATGCCACAAGTAATTCAACCTGACTCAATCCAGTTCAGAAAATACTACACATTAGAGATGGAACCAACGCACAGAAAATTTAAGTTCATTCACTCAAACTTATCTGATAGAATGTTTGCTCACCAGCTGCCTATCAGATTACATTTATCTAGATATATGCAAAACATGTTAATAAAGTTCATGGAATGGCACACACCATACAACTACACAACCTCCTGCACCATTTATTGCCCTGTCCCTATGTCACCTGTTCTGGTTAAGGGTGAAGTGGCAACCAACCAGCAGGACAGCCAGAACATGGAATAAACTAGAGGAATCCAGCCAGATACCCAGACTGGATCACTTCTAAACTCCTGCTGTTACTGGGGCAAGCACTGTCAAATTTGCCACCCCTCAGAAACTCAAGGCTGCAGTGTTACAGTTAATTTTGCACCTGATATACCACCTGGCACAACCTCAGTCACAGAGAAAAGAAAGGGCTAAAATCTCATCTGGTGCAGAGCTGCAGACTTCTGTCAGCTCTCTTGGAGTCTTGACAGGCTGTACAGCTGAAGCACTGGACCACGCTCCAAGAAAAGTGTAATTCAGATTTATGAGGAGACATTCCGTATCCAATATAATTGATTACCTACTGTAATGTGAACAGAACCTAATTTGCACTAATGAACCCTATGCATAATACAGCAAACCGTTTAATAATATGGAGACCACAAAATGCCAAGCCAGATGTCATTGATGGTGATAACAATTTTCCCAGATGGCAATGTTTCCTCTCCCTTTTTTTCCTGCCTTCAGGTTTGGGAAGATGGCATTTAACTTGAGAGATAGCTCTGGTATTCAATGTCTATTAGTTTTGTGCCATCACAGTCTGTGTACTATACCAAGATGCTATCCTATTACAGTTATAGTATGGAAATGCTTGTCTGCTCTGGCAAATTTTGATAAATGTAACATCAGATTAAAATTAATACAACCATACAAGGAGAATCTAATCAAGACTGAAGCTAACACATCTCTGTGGATCTTTTAGAGAAGAAAAACAAGATTAAAACTCTTTTAAATTTTAAAACATTCAGTCATGGAATTGGTGTGGAAATGAAACAACACATACCCATTATACCAATAAAAATGTGCCTTACTGGAAGCGGGAGCAGGGCGAAAGCCTGTGTATTTTAAAAATTATTCCATTCATTCACTTGACTTTTTTTTTTTTTTTTACATACTCAGACTGGTGATATAATTAACAAACTGTGATTTTTTTTCATGCAAAACAGTAATCAGTGTGAGGGCTGGCAGTGAATGGCATGCATTTGTAATAGGAATACTCTTTTATATTATATTTCTTAAAATTAGGAAACCTTTTCCTAAATGTAAGATGTAGCGTACAAGGACACAGAACTGCTTAAATTATAAAACGAAAAACTGAAATTCAGCTTTTTATGTCAGAATGCAAACATAGGTTCAAGTTAGTAGGAGCCTGTAACACAGATCAGTATGGCTGTTTTGGTGGGTTCATCACCAAACACATTTAACTTGCTATATTATTTTGATAGGAGACAGTCTGTGCACATTTTTTCCTGCATACACAATCAATCCTAGTGAAAATTATAGAAAATAGACTGTAAATAGATCTTCTCCTGACTTTGCAGGCTTCACCAGATTATAACACTAAAATGTAAAAGAAAAAATGTAAGGCTGAGTAGCAGATGAGACATTGCTATTAATGAAGAAAAGACGAGCATTCAAATTGAGAAAGCATCTTGATTTTTTCTATGCCAGCTGAATAGGAGAACATAATAGGAAAGTAAAACAGCTATCAGAC